TTTATGTCTGTCAATATTTGCTTTATATATTTAGGTGCTCCTATGTTGGGTGCATAAATGTTTACAAGGGTTGTATCTTTTGTTGGATTGATCCCTTTATCATTATGTAATGTCCTTCTTTTTCTCCTGTTATAGCTTCTGTTTCAAAGTCTATTTTCTCTGACATAAGTATTGCTACCCCAGACTTTTCTTCATTTCCATTTGTATGAAATATCTTTTCCATCCCTTTACTTTCAGTCTGTGTGTCTCTTTCCATCTGAAATGGTTCTCTTGTAGGCAGCATATGTATGGGTCTTGTTTTCTCAAATCCATTCACCTATCCTGTGTCTTTTCATTGGAGCATTTAATCCATTTACATTTAAATTAATTATTGATAGGTAGTAGTTATTGCCATTTTATTAATTGCTTTTGTAGTTCTTCTCTGTTCCTTTCTTATTCTCATGCTCTCTTATATGTTAATTACTTTCTGAAGTATTTTGTTTGAATTCCTTTCTTTTTATTTCTTGTATATCTCTTGAATATTTTTGGTTTGTGGTTATTATGTGCTTCATATATACCACACCATGTTTATAGCAGTCTATTTTAAGTTGATAGTCACTTAAATTCAAACAAACACAAACTAAAATCACTACCATTTTTACTCACGGCTTCCACGTTTGTTTGTTTGTTTGTTTGTTTGTTTGTTTATGACATTTCATGCACAATTTATTTTTTCAACAGCTTCATTGGGGAATAATTTACATGCATACCACAAAATTCACTCATTGTAAGTGTATAATTCAATGATTTTTGATAATTTGGAGAGTTGTGTCCTTGTATATGTTTTTGCCATTATTTTTTACTTCTTTTGTGTGTCTGTGTGTATCCCTTAATTTATTGTTCTAATTACATATTATCTTCCTACTTTTGCCTTTTAAACTTTGTACTAGCTTTATAGTTGGTTGATCCACTGCTTTTATTATGTGTGTGCCTTTGTTAGTGAGAGTTTTTTCCATTGGGGTATTATTTATATTTTTGATCTTTTTTCCCTTCTTCTTCTTAAAGAAGTACTTTAACATTTCTTGCAATACTGGTTTGGTGGTGATGACATCCTTTAATTTTTTTTATTTATTTTTTTTGTCTGGGAAGCTCTTTATCTCTGCTTCAATTTTAAATGATAGCATTGCTGGGTAGATTAGTCTTGGTTGTAGGTCCTTACTTTTCATCACTTTGGATATTTCATACCAATCCCTTCTGACCTGTAAAGTTTCTGTTGAGAAATCAACTGGCAGCCTTATGGAAGCTCCCTTGTAGATAACTGCTTTTCTCTTGCTGCTTTTGAGATTCTCTTTGTCCTTAATCTTTGGCATTTTAATTATGATGTGTCTTGGTTTGGGTTTCTTTGGGTCATCTTGTTTGGGACTGTCTGTGCTTCCTGAACTTGTATGTCTATTTCCTTTGCCAGGTTAGGTAAGTTGTTTCTTTAAAAAGGTTTTTAATTGTTGCTCTCTCTTCTCTTTCTGTTACCGCTCTGATGCGAATGTTGTTATGTTTAATGTTGTCCCAGAAGTCCCTTAAATTATCCTCATTTTTTGGAATTCTTTTGTCTTTTTGCTGTTCTGATTGTGTCTTTTCTGCTACTTTGTCTTCCAAATCATTGATTCAGTCCTCTGGTTCATCTAATCTGCTGTCAATTCCATTTAATATATTCTTCATTTCAGTTATTTTTTTTACTTTTTTTCTTCATTTTTGACTTTTTTTGTGTGTTTACTGTCTTTTTATTGAAGTTCTCACTGAGTTCATCTATTCTTTCCCTAAGTTCACTGAGCACTTTTATAGCCAGTGTTTTGAATGTATCTGGTAGATTGCTTGCCTCTATTTTGTTTAGTTCTTTTTCTGGAGAATTGTCCTGTTCTTTCATTTGGGACATGTTTCTTTGTCTCTTTATTTTGGCTGCCTCCCCGTGTTTGTTTGTACGTTTTAGGTAGAAATAATACATAGAGACTGCCACATCTCCCAGTCTTGGTAGAGTGCCCTTGGTAGAGTAGTAGTTGCCATATGGGGCCCACGGGCAAAGTCTCCCTGGTCACCTAAGCCGGGTGCTCAGGGATGTCCTTTGTGTGAGTTGTGTATGTCCTCCTGTTGTAGTTGAGCCTTGATTGATGTTGGCATATCAATGAGTGGGGATATAACCCTCAAGCTGACTGGTTGTGAGTACTGGCCATGACTACAGCAGATAAGCTATTGTGCAGGAGCTGACCTCATGGAGCAGGAGTCACTTTAGTGAAGCTCTGGTGCTGAGTCCACCCTTCAGGTGTGTCGTTTGTGGAACTAATTGGTTGGTGGTCTGGTATGGTCTGAAGCTGGCCACTGGATGTGTTGGTTCTGTGGCCTCTGAGCGGGGCTCTGATGCAGGCCCAGGTCAGATGCTGTCTGTGCTCAGCCCAGGTCCACCTGGTAGGAACTGCAAAATGATCTGTGGTTGGTCGCTTCTTGTGCTGGGCTTGGAGGCACCTGGAAGACGCTATACTTTGAACCAAGGTTGACTGCCACTAGTGCCAGGCTTGCAGCCACTTAGCAAGAAGTATAGGACATGTTGAGGCCAGCCACTGCTTGTTTGAGGTTTGTGAACCTTTGAGAGATTTTAGGAAAGTCTGCAGTGTGGGTCAACAGTGGCCACTTGTGTGGAACTTCTGCTGGAAGAGGTTCAAGTCAGGTTGTGAGTTGGGTGAGGTGGGGTCTCAGGGAATTGCGAGGGTGAGGCAAGTGATGTTAGCCAGGTTAATGGATACTCAAATTTGGCACCTGCCGCCTGTATGAGGGAAGGCTCAACAAAGGAACAATAGCTTCTGCCACCACTTCTGTCCTGAAGAGAGCTGCCTCTCCAGCCCTTACCCTGATGTCAGGCAATCAGTTTCTCCTCGTATGTCCCTGGCACTTTTTGAGCCACTCTCTCTTAACTGGAACTTAGGGCAAGTATGAGCAAGTGGGTCTGTGCTCAGACTTTTTAAGAGGATGCCTGGATCTATAGCAGCCCTTTATCTCACCCAGATGCTGATTTTCACAGACAGATGTTATGGGGATTTCTCTTCCTGGCATTCTGGGCTGGGGAGCCCGGTGTTGGGCTGCAACCCCTCGCTCCTCAGAGGGTATACCTCCACAGCTGAGATATCCCTCCTGATTCTTAACCACCTCACATGGGTGTGGGACCAGCCTATTTTGCCTCTCCGCCCCTCCAACCAGTCCCAGCGTGGCTTCTTCTTTTTATCCCTAGTTGCAGGAGAACTGCTCAGTTAGTCTTCAGGTGGTTCTCCAGGTTTATTGTTCTATAATTTAGTTGTCATTTTCATGTGGTCATAGGAGAAGGCGAGCACAGAAATTACCTACTCCACCACCTTGACCAGAAGGTCTATGTATACCTTTTTGTGTGGTCATTTGTTTTTATTTCTCTGGAGCATATACCTAAAAGTAAATGAATTGCTATGTCACATGGTAACTATATGTTTAATTTTTTTAGAAACTGCCAGACTGTTTTCTGCAGTAGTTTCACTGTCTTATGTTCCTACCTGCAGTGTATGTGGGTCCTGATTTCCCTACATCCTCATCAATACTTGTTACTTTCCAGTTTTTGTTTATTTTGTTTTGTTTTTATTCGAGCCATCCCAGTGGGCATGAACTGTATCTCCCTGGGGTTTTGATTTGCATTTCCCTGATGAAACTTTGGGTATATTTTCATGTGCTTATTAGCCATTTGTAGATCTTCTTTGGAGAAATAGCCAATTGGAGAATGTACAGATCCTTTGCCTATTTTTAAATTGGGTTATTTGACTTATTATTAAGTTCTTTATGTATCCCTTATCAGATATATGACTTGAAAGTATTTTCTCCCATTCTATGTGTTATCTTTTTACTCTCTTGATAGTGTCTTTTGCATCATTAAAGTTTTTGTTTTTGAAGATGTGTAGTTAAACTTTTGATTAAATCTAGTTTTTCTGTTTTTTCATTTGTTGATTGTGCTTTTGGTTTCATATCTAAGAAATTGTTGCCTAATCTAAGGTCACACATATTTACTCCTGTGTTTGCTTCTAAGACTTTTATACTTTTAGCTCTTACATTTAGGTATTTTATTCACTTTGCATTAATTACAATATATGGTTTGAGTTAGGAATTCAATTTAATTCTTTTGCATGGGGACATCCAGTTGTCCCAGCACCATTTGTTAAAAAGACTATCTTTTTTGTCTTGACACCCTTGTCAAAAACCAATTGACTGTCAATTTATGAATTTATTTCTAGACTCTTAATTCTATTGCATTGATTTAAATGTATATTTTATGCTAGTACCACATTATCTTGAATAACATTGCTTTGTAGTAAGCTTTGACATTGAGAAACTTGAGTACTCCAACTTTGTTCATCTTTTTTCAAGATTGTTTTAACTATTCCAGGTTCCCTGAGTTTACATATGAATTTTAGGATAAACTTGTCAATTTTTACAAAGAAACCAGATGGGATTTTTATAGAGATTATGTTGAATCTGTGATCAATTTGGAGAGCATTGTCATCATAACAATATTAAGTCTTCCAATCATGAACATGAGATTTCTTTTTATTATTTTGATCTCCAATTTCTTTCAACAATATTTTGTAGTTTTGAGAGTATAAGTTTTGCACGCCTTTTGTTAAAATGTTCCTAAGTATTTTATTCTATTTGATGCTGTTATAAATGGAATAATTTCTTAATTTGTTTCATTTTAAATTGTATATCTGGAGTATACAAAAATATAGTTGATTTTTCTATACTGATCTTATGAACTTGCTGTACTTATTCATCACACTATGTTCTGTTTACCTATGTTTGAACCAGGAAATTATAAACCAAAGAGTTTATGATTGTTGCAAAATGTTACTATTTTAGAATGCTTGAAATAGAGGGCACAGAGGAACCCATTTTCAATTAATATAAATTTTATTTACGAGTGTGGCTTTCACACCAAATTTTATTTCTGTTACATTTTTCAGGTAAATTTATTGGCTTCAATTAATTGAAAGCAGAGTATAGGGAGTAATGAAAAAAAGCAAAATACAATTTGTAAAATTTATTGTGTTACAATTTTAAATGAAATGAACAGTTGTGCACTTTAAACAAATTTACTTATGAAACAAGCAATTTCTCAATGGTTTGGTTTTTCAGGAATCTTGTAGCTAGCTATCTGGTAACTTGTTTGCTTATTATTCTGGACAGCTATAGCCACAGTCTAAATGTCAAGGTTTATATCAAGCACAACTTTTTATAGTCTTCAGATTAAGCAAGATATTGAACAAGGCCCCAGTTTACATCACTATCTGAAAGAAAGAAAGAAAGAAAGAAAGAAAGAAAGAAAGAAAGAAAGAAAGAAAGAAAAGAAAAAAGAAAGAAAGGAAGAAAGAAAGAAAGAAAGAAAGAAAGAAAGAAAGAAAGAAAGAAAGAAACTTTATTTACATGGATGATAATTATTGTCTAAGCATTTTTTGATATGAGCTAACTTTCGAGGCTTGCATTTTGCTTTAGAATAAAGCACAGTACTCTCTTTGTCTACCTAAGCAGTTGGGTCCTTGAAAACTATTAAAGTTATTTACACATTTTTTGTAACATTATACACACACACACTCACGTATACAGATCACTGCTAGCTAGAAGCACTAACTATACTAATCATTTATAAAAGTAATTACACATAATACTTCCATATTGGTATTTCTTTTACTAGTATATCATAGTGTCTCTTTTTAAATCAGGAATAGAAATGAAATTATATTTCCTTATCCATTAATTGAGGTTTTTGAACTTATTTTGACAAAGAAAAAATCTCTACGTAAGCTTAAAAGTCCCTCTTGCTAACCACTGTGGTAATATTTTCATTGTATGAGGATAGTGACTTAATTGATATTGTTGCTGCTATTATTTGTGACAATAATAACAGTTGTCTTTACCATTCTTTGTTTAATTTCTGCTAATAAGATATATTTTAAAAAACTAATATTGAAGATGACTCCAAGATTGTAATCATTTGGACTTTTACTTTGACCCAATCTTAATCACCCCAAAACTAGGCTTTTCTAGAACATCATCAATTGACCTCTAATTGTAGATTCATCAAAGGAGTATTTGGCCAGGGTACACAGGGCATTTAACTGACTCATTTTTCCACAGTGAAAGGAGCTGAAAGCAGAATCATTGATGGTGTAAATCAGTAAGATACGTGTGCTGTTTTTCCTAAGTTTGGGGGAAATTTTACAGTAAATTATCTGAATAATTGTGTTAGTGTGGCATGTCTCCTTTAGAAAGGGATCTACTTTGAGGGTGCTTTCTAATGATCAGAAACACCAGCACATACTTGGAACCATCTGCAATAGATAACTGGGAGACAAAGTGGGCAGGTGAAATCTTTCCCTGGGTAAATAGGACTCAGATTTGCAAGTAAAATGGTTGGAAAAGAAAGGCATCCACAACGTGGAAATTTTTTCATCAGCAGTGGCAGGGTCTTTAACTCTGTTAACTGGGTTTTTGTTTTCAAATCTCTCAAGGGTTGTTAGCCTGGGGTCCATTGATATAATTCAGGGTGATCTTGGATGAAATTAAATTTTTCCTTTCAGTAACTTCTAAATAAAATTAACATTTCCTTCAATAATGATTATAGGCAATATACCACACTGGTATTCGCAGTACCTGTGACTTTTCATTAAAAGAAATTACAGACATTTTCATATCACATTATGGTTGTTGCCAATATCTCAGTAGTTGAAGCTCCTTCAAATTTATGTAGTTATTAGAATCCAGATCTTGTTATTTAGCATGTTAACAAGGAAACACATACATTACTATTTAAGAAAATTTGATACAGTACTTCAATAAATAGTTTATTTGTAAGTCATATATATTTTATTTCATTCATTTAAATCCTTTACTCTTACAATGAGTGAAGAGATCTGTGGTGCAAAAAATTATTAAGAACCCAGCAAGTGTAGGCTTAGGTGCAGTGGGACTTGACTTCTGTTCTGAGGCAGGGACTGCTTATATATGGTCATTGAACATGCCCCATCTCTTCACTCTCTGTGTTTGAAAAGAACTATGCCAGTTTCAATATCCATCAGAGAACCAGGTGCTGGTTAACTCCAGCCCAGAAGCTGATCTTGACAAGAGAATTCCTTGTGCCAACCTGTAGTTGACTTGAAACCCTACGAGGTCTGACAAGTTCGCAAACTCACTCTAGAGAAAATGCTGCATACCTCATTGCTGAATATCACTACGGTCACCTTTGAAGCACTACCCTTGGGAAGCTATGCACTGACAACAGTGCCTAGTCCACCCTTCAAAGCAATTTTGGAACTCTTTTTCTGGAATGAGCTGTTGTTATATTACCCTTGAGGTCCTGAATGTCATCAAAATGTCTTCCTTTCAATATTTCCTTTATCTTTGGGTAAAGAAAGAAGTCATTGAGGGCCAGATCAGGTGAGTAGGGAGGATCTTCCAATACAGTTATTTGTTTACTGGCTAAAAACTCCCTCACAGAGAGTGCCATGTGAGCTGGTGCATTGTCGTGATGCAAGAGCCATGAATTGTTGACAAAATGTTCAGGTCGTCTGACTTTTTCACACAGCCTTTTCAGCACTTCTAAGTAGTAAACTTGGTTATGTGTTTGTCCAGTTGGTATAAATTCATAATGAATAATCTCTCTGATATCAAAAAAGGTTAGCAACATCATTGCAACAAGTTCATGAATTTAATTGCCAGGCCTCGTACATTCAAAACACAGGTTCTGAGGATCTGCCAAAACTAGATTCAGATTTCAAGGCTAGCCCTTAGCCAGCTCTGGATCATCTTGATTTCACCCTTGAAGCAAGCCTTGAGGTTGCAGGATGAGCTAAGACATGCTAAAAGCGTTCCCCTCCCCCCCCCAACACNCCACCCACCCACACTAGCTCCCACTACCACCACCACCACCACCACCACCACATTTATCCACTAAATGCTTTGGGGAAAGTATAAAAATAATGGCTACCACAAACCATAAGTCAGAAGTGGAAAAAGCATACTGATGAAGACATGAGTTTTACTAGCAATGTTGTTTCAGTGGTTGGACCAGGAAATGGGAACTGAAACAGTAGAAAGACAAAATGACAGTTTATTAAAGGAAAAGTCAACCATCTAACCCAGTGGCTTAGTTAAATCGTCACATTTCAATTATAGCTGTTTATTGCAATCATAAAGTGATCTTGCAGGTAAAAAGTTCAACTGGCTGTGCATTAATTACCTTCAGGTCCATCTGGTATTTCTAGTTTTTTATGTTTGTAGAATGAGAGTGAAAAAAAAAATGTTTCCTTGTTTTCACTTACTTTTAACAGAAATATTGTGTGTGACTAGTAGAATTTGTTGTACAACTGGAGCTGCCTTCCTGATTAATGGTTTATTTAAATTTTTAGCATAGGAGATAATGGGTAAAGGAATATTCTTCAAAATAGGAGACCTGGGTTCTAACCCTAATACTTCCCCTGCTTAAACTAGTCATGTTCTTCTACAACTCCTTGTATTTTGCCGGGCTCAGATTTCCTCAACCTGTTTGACATGGAGATTGTGGGAAGAAATGAAAGAGGTGAGAAAGTGAGAAAATTGGTGTGAAGTTCTTTGAATTTACTGAAAAGTTCTGCAGACATATTATTGCAAAATATTTTTTAAATGTCTTCTAGTTATAGTTTGTCTTGCAAATATTAAAGTGAATGCTTATTGATTTGAATTTGTGTGACATTAGTATTGTTCCTTATGATTCAAAATACTTCATAATAAAGAATGAACTAATCAGGTAGCTATTATTAGTGTGTTTTATCTATTTTGTTGATTGTCATATAAAAGACATGATAGTAATGGACTGCAGTTAAAGTTTGCCAACATGAAGAACTTCATATTGTACATTCCTCTGAAAGAGAGGATATAAGAGAATTTGTTTACTACAATATACTCAGAGCCTAGAATAGTATCTGTTACACGGTAAATCCTTAGTAAATACTGAATGATATAAGAGAGAAGCCCAATTAGCAAATCTTCAAAGTAATGATGTATTAATCTTATATGGATTATATGTAAATTATCCATTAGTGGAGAATATTAAAGCAAATGTTTCTTTTTTTTTTTTTTTAAAGATTTTATTGGGGAATCGGGGAAGGGGAACAGACAAGTTGCTGCCCTTTTGTTCTTCAGTCTAGTTGTGGAGGATGTCACTTCACTGGCCCATGTTGGTATTGTCATTGTGCTCTCCCTGGGTGAGGCAGATCGGTTGCCAGCCATTGGACAGCCGCTCACGGCAGCTCACGAAAGCTCACACCAGCTGCCAGCCAGCCCCACTGCAGCCTACGCCATCGCTGGCGACTCACAGCAGCCCAGCTCCAGGTCAAGCTGTTGTTCACCATCTTAGCTGTAGAGGGCGCAGCATCACTGGCCCTCATGTGGGATCCAAATCTGGGCCCTGCTGCTCAGAGTTCGCATCCCAAGCCAACTCTTAACCAACACACCACTTGGCTGGCCCTCAAAATACATTTTAAAGGCCTTTTTTCCTGCTTTCTCATTCTCTCAGTTTATGTGTTTGTGTGCTCACACATACATGTTCACATATATAATTTTCTAAAGCAGACGATTTCTTGGGGGATATATTAAAAGTTATGACTTTGACGATAAAGGATAAATTGACCTTCCTCAGTAAAGAACACTATGCCCATGCATTGTTTCGTTCTAGTTTTGAATGTTCTGTGGCTGTTTAGGCCTCAGGGTTTGTGTCCTGTAGTATTTGAACTTGTAAGCCCTGCAGTTCTAAAAAGACATAGTCCATACTGGCAAGAATTGTCTTTAATTTGCATTAGAGGTTTCCATGGTTTAATGGGATTGGGGCGAATTTACATTTTGCCTATTGATTAAGGAGTTGAATATGGAAACCTAAGTTAATGGGCCTGGGATTTCTGATTTATTACACTGATATTATAAAATAGCCTCCTTGA